TCGATTCCGGTGAACACGTGCTGAGCTTTCGTCCGTCATATGACGGACATCATAAGAGCGAGGTAACATCGTCACAACAAAATTCAGGCTTGCAAATTCTACTCGAAATGGAAGTAATCCCAACAATTATGAAACAATATGTACGTAAGAAGCTCTGGCATGACAGTAGGAAGTATCTAGTTAGGGTATTTTTGAAGCATCAAGGCTCAACAATACTAGTTTTGAAATAGATATGTATAAAAACTTGGTTTTGAATAATTCCTTAATAGATTGAAGTCGGAGTACCTTTCATTCAGTTTGAAGAAGCAAGTGGAAGGGATTGGTAAGTTGGCCCCATCGAAAACTGTAGGGGGATTGCCTTGGAGCTGTGACCGTAGATTTGTGCGAATAGGTCCTCGGCGCACTGCTTTGCAACCCCGATAATCCACATTGAGCCTTCGTCCGTGATGACGGACGTCAGAGCGGGATACCATGCTTAGCGAAAATGCACCAAAACACAGGATGTGAATGTAGATTTGTGCAAATAAAACCCCAGTGAACCCTTCATGTCTTCATGTTATGGTGAATTACTGTAAAGCATAGTGTCCTGCTCTGACGATGGCGGACGAAAGTTCAGCAAGGATTCATCAGGGTCACAGGGCGATGCGGCGAGTACCTATTCGCACAAACCTACAATTACGGTTCCAAGGCAATCCCTCTACAACTTCCGGTGAGTCATGATAATTTCCAGCATCAGACCGTCGACTTAGTGCTCTCGCAGACCCTTCGCCGGGATCTACAATGAGAGGCACGATCCTTATAACAGTTACAACTCATCAAAATGACAGACAATTCCCTTTACTATTTTTTTGTTGAACAGTTGGGGTTTCTCCTCCCTTCGTATCCTAGCTCCAGGAGCTATATCCTCACTCTTAAGTCCTCTTCATATAGCCAATTAAGATATGTATACCTCCATATCTTTGTTTTTTTATTAAGTCTCCTAAGTGTAGGTCACTTTAGATAGTTTAAGGAAGCATAATAACCTTCAATAACAGTTTCATATGTCGTTGACAGAGCTTCAGGGAATCAATAAGCCATTTCCCTAAATCATTTACTCTATCTCACTTGTCAACCATTCCCTGCTGCATTTAAAAACAATTGTTTTATCTAATTGGTTGTGTATAGCTCCTCGGACCAGCCAATGTTTCAGTCATATTTAAAGGTTTATTCAAAGGATTACCCCTGAAAATATAAAACACATGCGATACTCTTAGCGATGAGTGACCTCTCCGATACGCAAGATAGGAAAAGTCTTAGGTCCGAGTAATCCTCTTCCCTACCTCTGTGTATGGCTTTATTTTAAACCGCTAATGCGAAAATATACCACTATATTTGTCTACTTCAAGTAAAACATTTTTTGCACTTTAATGTTATTAGTTCCATTTAAATCTAAGGTTCTATTCAGTTAGGTATGTAGCTACAACATAACAGGACAGGAAATAAGCTCCGCGACGTGCCTTGTACGCTAACCAAGTTGTGGAAGAGATATCAAACTGAGAATTGATTTAACAATAAAATTTATAGGATAAGCAATTAAAAACTAATAATTAAAGTGAGATAAAAATGGAGA